GTCTGTCTTCTGTGGAAGGAAATGATGAAGTTGTCCTATCATGGAGTTTCTACGGTCTTGCCAATAACAAGTTTCTGTGAATGGCATGCGTTAGGCTACTTGAATTCAAATTGAGTCTGAAGTTTAAACATTTCTGTGAATGGCATGTGAAAAATGCAGTCCAAGTGTTTGGAATTGCAGCGATGAAGTTGTCCTATCATGGAGTTTCTATGGTCTTGCCAATAACAAGTTTCTGTGAATGGCATGCGAAAAATGCAGTCCAAGTGTTTGGAATTGCAGCAAGATTTCTTTTTGAAAGCTTAAATGTCAGGAAGCAAAGTGTTGCTAACGTATAAGCGAAAGCGGCTATCAAGAACAGATCCTGTGCAGGGACATGAGTGCCGTAATTCACTTTTTGTTGCTCCCGATGATACTTCTTTAAGCAAACCACCAGACTTGCAAGTTCATTTGATTGATAAGCGTTCATCAGAAAATTACAACAGAAATTCTGCGGTGAGATTATAGAAAGTTGGAACCTGTTCACTTTTTTTAGTTTGTTTCGTAGGGATATATGTTGTATGTCAATCATCTTTATGTAGATAATTTAATAATCCACCCTTCCCTATTTTTTCCTCTAATAATTTTGTTCTTGAAAAAAATACTGAAAAGAAAAAGGTTTTTTTAAGGGATTACCAGATACCACCAAAATGTGCCCTATTCAACCGACCCTTGAAAGCGTATCTAGTTGAGATGAACATTTAGATTTGGTTCTTTAATTTAGGTTTCTATGAAGATCTTCTCTTAGTTGTCTTAGACCTATAATTTATTTTTAAGTTCATTGCTATATTCTGTCTCGCCTGCCTCTTTTTCTTGCAGGTATGCCATGTATGTTTTGTGTGCTGTGTTAGGGGTAACCTGAAGCACTGTACAAAATGCCTTCAGTCCTATAATCTCCAATGCCTAGATAATCCCCATAAGGAAAAGAACCAATTAAAACCATTCCGACAACTCTTGATGAGGTTCCTTCCCAAAGGGATGCATATGGGAATAAGTCTAGTGGCAAGAAAGTAGGCTCATCTTCAAATGCTAATGCTGGAGCATTGGTTGATGATAAAAAGATACACAATATAGTCTATGTCGATGATATCCTAGTTACTGGGAATTGCAACACTGCCTGCAGATCTCTTATTTCTCTTCTTAGTGCCAAGTTTCCTGTTAAAGATTTTGGTCCTTTACATTACTTTCTTGGGTTAGAAGTTCATCGATTTGGCAGTGGTATTTTTCTTTCTCAAACCAAATATGCATGTGATCTCCTCAAGAAAACAGATTTTATTGGCGCCAGCCCCTGTTCTACTCCTCTTGGCTCTTACAAGTTGGATAACTCTGGTGACATTCTTGCTGATGCTACCTTTTATCGCTCTACTGTTGGAGCTCTTCAGTATCTCACTTGGACAAGGCCAGACCTCTCCTATGCAGTTAATCTAGTTTGCCAGCATTTACATTAGCCTCGCTCTAATTATTTGGGTGCTGTCAAACGAATTCTTCGTTATCTCAAGGGCACTCTTGATATGGGTGTTTGGTTTACCAAGGGTTCTCTTAGTTTACACGCTTTCATAGATGCTGATTGGGCAGGGTGTCCCATTGATCGGAGGTCTACCAGTGGCTGGGGCATCTATCTTGGTAACAATTTAATCTCTTGGTCCGCTAAGAAACAACCAACCGTCTCTCGCAGTTCCACTGAAGCTGAATATCGTGGCATTGCCATGACTGCAAATTCGGTTTGTTTCCTCTGCAAATTAGCTTGCAGACGTTTTCACGAAACCTTTATCTACTCCCAGGCATGTCTTTCTTCGTGACAAGCTTACAGTGTGCTCTCCCCCTTTCAGCTTGAGGGAGGCTAAAGGCAGTAACTAGTTATTAATCTGTTAGATTAGTTATATTTTCTGTTTAGTAATATATTCTCATCTGTAATTAGTTATGATAGCTCAGCATAGTGTTGTATAAAGGCCTTTGTAACAGTTTATTCAATAATGAGAATCACACTTCCTTTACCTTTTGTATCTAATGCATGAATGAGATCCAACTTTTAAACTTAAACCAACTATATATATCTTCCGGTGTCATATATGGAAATAATTCTGTAATTTTTATAATAATTTTAGAAGAAGAAAAAAAATCCCACCAAAGCAAATACACTGAAGATGATCGTAGTCCTGAATAGTTGCATACTTAATTGACGTGTGACAGAGAAGATATTTGTATCTAATGCATGACTGAGATCCACGTTTTAAACTTAT